CACAGCCAGAAGCCCCGGGCGCCGCGGAGCAACTCGGTGAGTCCCGCCGCCGCCATTAAAGCGGCGTCCCGCGGCCCCCCCCCGGCAACGGCGCCCGCTTTAATGGCGTCCCGCTCCACCCGGCAACGGCCCGGCGCCCTGGTGCCGCCGCTGGACCTGGAGTACAAGCGCTGCCGGCTGGAGGATCGTGACGGGAAGAGGGCGGCGGCGGCGCCCGCCAGGGACGGCGGGTCCTCGAGCAGCGACGAGGGCGTTGCCGGGGGCAACGGCGGCGCCGGCGGCGGGCGCTGCAGCAGCCGCAGCAGCAGCGCCAGCAGCCAGCGAACCACAAACAGCCTCAGCCGGCGCTCCCAGCGGGCGCCACCGCCTGAGGCGGGTGGCGGGGGGGGGGGGGGGGGGGCGGCGGCGGGCGGGGGGGGGGGGAGGGGGGGGGGGGCGGACCGCGTCCTGCGCAGCGTGGCGGCGTTGGCGGCGGTCCAGGCGCGGTCGCCGGCCGCCAGCACGCGCTCCTCCGCCCACCAGCAGCGCAAGACATGACGGCGGCGGGGGGGCGGGGCTAAAGGGGGCGGGGCTAAAGGCCTCCGCGGAGCACGTCGCGACCTCTGACCTCCTGTCGGCGCGGGCCAAAGGGGGCGGGGCTAAAGACCTCAGCGGGGTCCCCCCCAACTGCCCCCCCTCCCCAGCCCGAGGACCCTGGACTGAAACAGGCCGGTGGAAGAGTCCACCTGGCGGCTTGGCAGGGGGGTTTGGGTATTGTTGGGAGGGGGGGGGCACGCGGTGTACTGTAATCATCAGGATGGACTCCTCCGGTTTTCTCCGTGTCGTTTGGTCGTTTCCGGGCTTTCGGACGGCTTTCCGGTCCGGTTTTTTCCGCCTCGTTTCTGTTCGTTGGATCGTTCCAAATCCAAACCGACGTTTTCTCATTTGCACATTTCCGAGGCGTCCGCTCCGGCCCATGAATTGGGTCCCGGGAGCTGGAGTCCTCTAATTGCCTTGTGAAGCGTTTGTGTGGAGCTTCTTATTTAAAACAAACGACGACAAAAAAAAAAAAAGCCAAAATAACTCGGAGCCCTCCTTCAGAGCGTCAGTGCTACCAAATTATTTTACTCTCCACCCGTCAGCCGTCTCTTCGTTGATGTAAAATAAATAAAATCCTCGGGCAGAAACATGTGAATAAACTTTCCGGGTGGGTGTAAATGTGTGGGTTTAGTTTGGGCGGCTCCCGGTGGCGGTCTCACACTTTCTGATTTTCTTTTTATTTGTTGCATTCCTTTGATCCCTTGTAATTCCACATTGTTTTACTTGAAAATTAAGACGATTACAGTTGAATAAAAAGACCAAAAAACAAGCTGGCGTCCATTGTTGCTCTCTTCAAAACAGACAGGAGGCAGAATGTGACCACTATTTTATTTAAAAACCAACATTAAAACAAAGGTGAAACATCAGACAGCAGATGAGTCGCCACCAACCGGATGGACTTCCTCCATCTCTGTTTTGTCCCATTGTGCTTAAACGCATCGCGGCGTCCCACAACGCGACAAAATAACAAACGCTTTTGTCCCTTTTTGGAGACGTTAGAGTAGAAAAACCTCGTTTCCAGCCTGATGTGGAAGAGAAGGCACAGTGTTTAAAAGGGTTTCGTTACACGCTCGATTCGGAGAAAGGTCAGCTCATAAATACTCAGTTTGGGGGGAAACGGTGCCTCCGGTGGCTGGGCTGACTCAGCGTTGCATTGTGGGTTTTGACCCACATCAGAAAAGAACAATTATTTACACTTGTTACAAGTCGGCAGCTTTCAAGTTAAAAAAGAAAAACGAAAAAAAAATCTGCATCTATGATCAGAAATGTGAGTTCTGTACAATCGCGTTAGTCTGTTTTTTTCTGTGATGGGGGTCTTTACGGGGGGAACAGCAGGTCCTGAACGCAGCACGCCGGGCGCCGCTCCTCTGCTGCATCGCCGCTTCGCTTAAGGTCACTTGGTTACCCGGGGCAACGGTTCTCCGGAGCCGGGCGGCTCGGTTTGGGAGCAGAACGATGCAGATTGTGGAGCTCCGTCTCTTTAAGAAAAGTGGAAGGTTTGGGCCGCCGTTTTAGGAGGGAGGAGGCGAGGAACTAGGAGAAGGCCGAGACCACGGCGATGACCAGGATGAGGATGAGGATGGCCAAACAGATGGCGATCCAGATCTTTTTCTGTAACAGAAGAGAGAAACACACCGTTTGAAATGGACCCAAATCATTCAGCTGGTTCAGGTAAAGAGCTCTCAGGGGCTTTGGGACATTTTAGGACGGGATCTGACTGTTTTATTGTGTCATTCAGGTCTTTGAATATAAACACAACTTTTGTTCAAAACCACTAAGAAGTCCTACGTTTATTCCCTGAGGCTCAGACTGAGATTTGGATAATGTTCAGTTCTAACATGCGTCCACCAGGTGGAGCTAAAGTGTCCCTTTAAGGTAAAAAGACAGGAAAAGGTTTGTTTTTTTCCCCTTCAAATAGTAG